TCAGGAAGATGAATTAGAAACTTCAATTTGTGCTGGTCACCAATGTTCCAATTTGATAACTTTAGACTATGGACATAATTGTATCATAGGATTTATTCATTCAGACTTAATAGTCTTACTAAATGTGGTCCTTGTTTCAGTGGTCGCTTTTTAGCATGTGCTAAGCCAGGTCTGCTGCATTTGGGGAACTTCCTGCTGATTCTGCTACACAGACTCCTGGACTTATGCCCCAAAGTCTTGTATGCTCCATTATAACAACATATTGTTACATATGTCCTCATTGATCCTGGGATATATGTACACTTCAATTCATTTTATGCCAGGTACATTGCCACCTACTTCATGTGTATATTGTGAAGTTAAGCTTCTGGGCCCAATTCAAAATGATGTTTTTAACATATGAACTCTTCCACAGCCTGCAAAATTCATTTTTCAGACAATTTCTTCCCATATGAACCAAGTGAAGTGCACTAGGAATTGCTTTCCATTCTTGTGACAGTCAGCCATTGTCTGGATGACAGATTGATCTCCAATCTTTCTGAGCCCATAAAAATATATTTTTGCATATATTCCAGTGGTATTCCAGTGGGCACATCTAGAATCCTGAGAGTATATTATGCGCATTCCCACAAAGTTGGCTACTATTATGGGCATAACCAATCCTCAAACACTTACTGGAAGGCAAACTGGTGAAGTTTCTCCTCTGTAAACTTTCAAGATGTCCTCTATCACTCCAGCATATCCCCTTTCGGGGGACTGGTAGGAACACCTCCAAATAAAACACTGGACCGCAACTATCATGTTTATTTTCTGAAAATACCACTGGAATATATGCAAAAATAGTACTTCAAATAAAAAATCATGCTTGAAATTTTGACTTTTTTTTTTTTGCCACATGCTAGCTTCCCATTTAATTTTTTTGTAATTTAAAATAAATAATAAATAAATAAAATAAAATAATTGGGATATGGTACCTGGCAGTTACCAGAGGAGACATTTGTGAGTGCATATTGAGGATCCAGGGTTTGGACAGTGAAGTAAAAAAAATAGATTTTTCACAGCATTCCCCCCCCCCCAATTATGGAAACCTTCCCTTAAATAGGCATG